GTCATTCCCAAGAGTATCATTTCTTCGTTTATCGGTTGCGCATGAGAAGACACGTGAATATGGATACAACTCAAACAAACAATCTGGATTCTCAAGGGAATGACACGGGGTTTGTAATTGAAAAAAAAACATTAAGCAAAAGGTCGAGAGATCTATTGACATGTCATGATACGCCCAAAGTAAAGAGGTCTGTTTGCAAACGCAATGTCGCTAACAATACCAAGCTACAATTTTTTTAAAGCTGTGACGTTGTTCCGGTCGAAATAGTGGTTCATTCAACTAAAATTAAGACACAACTGTGGTGCAAATATTATCCTCCGCGTGCTTTTGATCAAGTAAAAAAGTCCTTTTCATTTTGGACCCGGAAGTCGTTGTGTTGATATGGGTGACGTCACAGAGGTTGCCTAGTTACTTATCCTGTGTTGTGATTGGTGTATTTTAGGTGCTGTCTTGATCCAACGGGATGCTTCAGCGTATGCCGTGACCCACCTAATGGTACGTTTATCCACGTATTTCACCTGTTATTGTTTATGGCCAGTAGTTTTTGCATCATGGCGCATATTYGTTTCTTAAAGACTGTATAAAAGGTCAGTTCCGAGGCTTAGGAAAAAACTACATAGGTCCAGTTGGCATTGCAGTGCATTTTGGGATTGTTTTAGGTGACGAAATAGACGCCATCTTGAGAATATGTCCCTAAAAACAGTCCCACAATCCACTGCAATGCCAACTCGACCCAGTTTTTTTTCTCGACCTTTGAATGGCTAATAGAATCTCTCTTGCCGAGAAATGTTGAAGGGAAGAATGTCGAAGGCATGTCCTTGGTGATAGTTTCTTCTCATCGTCAATAGATTGGCTGGGACAAGGCTGGGACTGTAAAGTCCCTTGGTATTACTTGGGAATGGGGAGGGCTTGGGATGGGGACGGAGAAAGATTGTGGACCAATCGACGTTAATTACAACCAAAAGTGAATAGATTCTTGGCTTGTTGTATGTTGGATAAGAAGGAAACTTAAACACCGTGATAAAATTTTTGAAAAATGGAGAGGGAAGGGGAGGGGATGGTAGAGAAAAGAAGGTGAAGAGTAGTGAGAGAAAAAGGAAAACTGGGAAGAGACTATTTTTGAAGTTCTTTATTTAAAACCCCATTTATTTCTTGGCAGAYTGTAAGGGGAAATACGATCTTACTCTTCTACTGGACTCTTCTGACTCTGTTGGTGAAGAGGGGTTCAAGAAAGTCAAGACATTCGCTAAAGATATCGTGGACGCATTTGATGTCTCCGAATCTGGTACAAAGGTGGCCGTGATTTCGTATGGAGCAACGCCAAAAGTAGACATAACGTTCCAGCATAAACCATCGAATAAAGAAAGAATCAAATCAATCATAGATGGTATTCCATATCAAGGTGATGGACCATCTTCCACTAACGACGCTCTGCAAAAGGCCTTGGATGTCGTGTATAGCACATCTACAGGCGCTAGGGACGGCGTTAATAAGGTGAGTATATGCTGTCCAGATTACTGACCCGTTAAGGAATAAATGAATAGAACACGGATCTAACGAAGATACTGAGAATCAGAAGATAAACAAAAGACCAAGAAAAAACATGCAAACAACTGCAAACAAACCAACAACAACTGACCGAAACAAGAACAAAAAAGAACAAAAGAGAATGAACCTTTCTTTCTTTCTTTTCTATACGTTATTTTACAATGAATAGGCAGATCAAGATTCCCGTTTTTCCTTCCCGCAAACGACAAACGTGACCACGTTTTCATCGTTTCCTCACAATTCACTTTACCTTTTGCAAACCTTCTCGACAAAGACAAGTATTCTTTTGTTTATCTAATACTTGGAGTTTTTTGCGATTCCTTTTCACTAATTTTAAATAATTTTTTAATGGTCAACTGACGATTCACGGTTGCCGTAAGCGAGAATCCTAAACTCTCTAAAATCAATGTATACCAACTCGATAAAGATGGCAATCCCAATRTTTGCTTTCCTCCTCTAGTCTCTTGTCATCGTCAGCCCCGGCAAATTCCAAAACCAAGCTGGTTCAATCCGACTGGCTGGTCTCCTCAAACTCGAACAAGTTGATGTATTCGCTGTTCCGGTGGGCAAAAATCCTGATATTGGAACATTGAGGAAACTCGTGTCAGATCAACAGAATAACAACGTGTTCATGACCACGTCACCATCGGCGCTGAGACCACATGTTCGGGCTTTGACGGATACTATCTGCCAAGGAGCTGACAAAATAAAAGGTAAGAGCCTTTCACTTTTTTCTTATGATATTAAATACAGCTATTTCAAAAAAAGCTTGGTGAAGGTTTTGTTTTGTTTGCATTTTGCATTAAAAATCAAGTTAGACCATCAAGTGATGGTAAAAAACCCTCTATAAATATTTGCAAAGAGGATAATCTTCTAACAGTAGTCCTGTCATGGCTACCATCACGTGATGGTAGAAATCCTCTATAAATATTTGCGAAGAGGATAATCTTCTAACAGTATCTACTCTTAGTTTGTGACAGGAAGATGGACGTGGTGTTTGGAATACCCACAGCTACAGAGCTTGGACCAGACTTCCAGAAAGTGAAAGACTTTTACATGAACATGCTGACACTTTTCAAGGTGAATATGGATCTAGAAAAGAACCTCATGTATAAGGGGGCGTGTTTCTTATACTGTTGCCATGGTATTACTACGGGTCTGGGAAACAACCTTTTCTTTAAATGAGGTTAATGGGCCGCTTTTCTCCTTCTGTCACCATGCTAACATTTTTTTATTGTATTAAAATAAACAACGCGTTTCATTCGGTTCAGGTTTTTGCAGCGGGTACAGTTCGTAACAGACAATGAAAATTTGGGTAATTTACAGTGATATTCACACGAAATATGCCCCGAAATATCTCTGAAATATGCCCCTTCTATTTGTTCATGTTAGGTTAAGGGAGCACGCTACTTTAACTGTCTCCATGGTTACATATTTACTATTTTTGTAACCCTTAAAGTGCCGTTTTTCGACTCTTGGACAAAACGCAGAAGGAAAATATGTTCAAATAAAAAATTGGCCATTAAACATTTTTTGCGTTACATTTTACCATGTTAAGGTAGCACATCACTAATACAGTTGTCATGGCGACATTTTCTACAGATCTCCAACAGGAACGTGCACGTAGGTATAGTACCCTACAGTAATTCAGCCACATTGACAGTCAACCTTGACCACATGTACGACCGAAAGCAGTTAACCAACTACRTGGATAACATGAAACTATCTGGTAAAGGGTACAACGTTCAGGAAGCCTTGAGGGTAGCAGCAGACCACGCCTTTACCATGTTCGGTGGAGTTAGACCCACGGCTCCCAAGACCTTTGTTCTGTTCATCCCAGGAAAGGCAGCAGTTAATAACGAAGCCATTGCTGCTGCGGCCGCCAAGTTAAAGAGTGTTGGAGCGAGGCTGATGGTCATTGGCTTAGAGAACATGGTGGATCCCGCTTTTTTCAAACAAGTGTCTACCCAGCCTGCGGCTAAGCACTTCTTGTATGGAAACTATGACAAGATTGGTGCTGGAGTGTACGATGCTGTCGAAACCATTTGCCAAGGTATTCTAGTAGTTTTTCTTTTATTAGCGTAGTGTACGATAGGACATACTTTGTATGGTAAGGCGTGCCATGGATAATTTTAAATTTCTTTAGATGATATTGCCACGTTTATTAGTTCCCGTGTTCATTTGAATGTCTTTATTATCTTTCTTGGTAYCATTATGGATGTCTTTATAATTTTTTTCTTAAATCCAGCAAAGTTCGGAAAGTGCCCAGCTTTCCCTCCGCCACCTCCAGCAGACTGTAGTGGACTAGAGGATGAATGCTCTGTAGATGGTGACTGTCCTGGTGACGAAGGTGTCTGCTGCCGCTCGGGAACCGCGTCATGCGGATTCATGGAATGCACAAATAGAGTCAAAAGTAAGTGCAAGTTACCATATTACGTGACAATGCGTGACATTGAACTGAGTTGACCTTCAGTACAAGTCACAGTGCCACATACACTGCGTGACACCSAACTAAGTTGACCTTCAGTACAAGTCACAGTGCCACATACACTGCGTGACACTCAACTGATTTGACCTTCAGTACAAGTCACAGTGCCACATGACGCTTCGTGACACTCAACTCAGTTGACCTTCAGTACAAGCCACAGTGCCACATGACGCTTCGTGACACTCGACTCAGTTGACCTTCAGTGCAAGTCACAGTAATCTGACTTAGATTGATTTTTTTCATTTCAGATTACCTAGTACATTATAATTTAATTTAGTTTTAACTATAATATTGTAAACTGATTGTATTCGTCTACAAATAAAGTTGTTGTTGTTGTTGTTGTAGTGCAACATGTCACTGCGTGACACTCAGTTGACTATCAGTGCAAGTCATAGTGCCACATGACACTGCGTGACAAGGCTACATACTATTATTAAAAGACTACTCAGACAAGAAAGAAATCACATTTTCTCAAATAAACTAGTGTCTGCAAAATCAATTGACCCCTAAATCACCCTCAGGTTTCAATTCTCAAAAATACCGCTGTCTTTATGGCTGCGTAGTATTCAGGATTTTATGCTTTTGCTGAAAATTTCTCCTAGATTCGATCTTCCTCCCAATATTCGCGGGGGAAGTAGTTAGTTTTTTATTTTCGTTGCTTGTTTTTATTTTCGTTGCTTGTTTTCTCTAGATTGTTATGTTGCCATGGATGTGGCTCTCGCCGTCGACGCAACAGCGGATATACCAAACAACGAATTCAACAGTGTCCAACAATTCATCACCAGAGTCATCAACGCTAACGCCGACTCCGAGAACAACAACCACTTTGGAATACTGAAGTACGGACAAACCGCGACCAAACTCACCAACTTCCGTCAATTCGATTCAGAGGCTAAGCTGAGAGAAATACTCAGAGGCTTGTCAAAAACTGCTGACACGGAAAGACGTGTTGATAATGCTCTACGCGGGGTGAAAACGCACATGTTCAGCCTCGAGGGAGGAATGCGACAAGGGCGTCCACGATTTGCTTTAATCGTCGTGTCTGGACCGGCGTCTGTCAATACTGGAGACTTGCTAGAAGCCTCAAAAGAACTGAGAGCTTTGGATATTAAAATTATCGCTGTTGGATCCAATACGAACGTTGACAATGGCTTTTTAGGACAAGTGGCAACCGATCCTAGTCTTGTTTTCAAAGCCAATACTCCTGAAGATCTTTCTGGTCTTTGGAACACCATTCAAGGCGTCATGTGTTCGCGTAAGTCAGCAAAATTCATTAATAATTTTCAATATTTATTATATATAATGCGCAAATTAACATGTTGGAATATGATCAAATACGCGAATCAACAAATTCGTGTGGTTTTGTTTGACCACTCTCACAGTATTGCTTGCTATCAATCACGTGACTTTTTGGAGTTGACTGGGGGGCAAACAAGCGGTTTACTGGGGGGCAACTAGCGGATGCTAAGTCAAAACATATCAAAATARGTCCTCAAACTATTGTATTTGACTATTTTAACGACATCAAACCAGAAAACAAGAGATCAAAACAACCTCCAGGATTCTACAAGCCATCAAAAAAGAGCTATTACCGGAAGTGACGTCTATTGATAGCAACCTATTCACTGAAACTTCCTGATATTTTTGATATTGTTTAGTGTGTTTGCGAAGACAAAATTAAAGGGATTTTATTTAGCCCGTAAAAACAAAGTGTATAAATTAGTGACTAAGTCAAAGTAACAAAGTAATAATAATAATAATAGAATCAGTGTCTGCTACTATGTATCATGCTTACACTTTTTTATGGGAAGCTTAGCGGTGAGAGCACTCGCCTCTCACCAATGCGACCCGGGTTGGAGTCCCGCTTGGCTTGGTGTTGTATGTGAGTAGAGTTGTTTGTTGGTTCTCTCCTGTGCTTCGAAGGTTTTTCTCCAGTTTTCCTCCTTCTGCAAAAATCGACTCCTAAATTCCAATTCGATCATGGAACTAGGGCAACAGATTTGTTAGCCACTAACTATTAAGTGCTTCACGCGTAACGACAAAGACGTTTTTTTATGGACCGAATAAGGGCACTTTTATATCAGTAATATAACGTTATAACGTTCATTAAATAAATATTCTAACGGTTGTGTTTTTGACTATATGCAATGTTCATGCGCCGTACAGAACGCATTTATTTTTTCGGTATCCATTTTTACAGTTATCCCAAAAAGGACTTTTTTTCATTATTATTATGTTATTTGTCAAATTCTTTTTTCGTTTTTCTTTATCCCTCAGAAAAACCTGGTAAATGCAGACCAGTCGAACGAACATGTGGAGCACCAGGCTCCCCCGTTCCTCCTCAGTTCATCCCGTGTGGTGGTTCAGCTGGTAAAGCAGGACGAAGCGTCAAAGAAAATGACTGGGATTGTCCTGGCCTAACAAGATGTTGCCTTGACCCAACTGGATGCCACTCAGTCTGCCTGCCACCACCCAATGGTATTCTATTTTTTTATTTTTTTAGCTGAAGTAGATCCAATAGATTKGTTTGCTCAGTTGGACGTTATGGTTTTCCATTTAGACCACGTGTCATTCTCTTGAGAATACAATTTGAGTTGTATCCATATTCAAGTGTCTTCTCACGCGCAACCTTTAAACAAAGAAGTTATACTCTAGGGAATGACACGTCTGAATAAGGACAACGTTTGACCAATGTAAACAGGTATATTAATAGAGAGAAAGGAGTCTTAATGCTAAAAGGCATCTTGAAGGGGTGCATCTCACTATCCCTGGGACTACGGAAAGAAGCATAAGTTGCCAAGACCTTTTCTGTTATCCCGGAATGGAATGCTAAAAAGAAAATTAAAAGTCTGTTATATAGAGCAGATTTCGTCACTGTAAAACGGCATGGTTTACGATACTGTCACGGAACGGAATTGACAACATCCTTTGAACCAATCAGTCGCGACACCGTTAGAGGGTAGAATAAATTAATATAATGATGTTCTCTTGCTGTTCCCGTCTTGTTTTTTAAGCATATTCCAATATTTCTTACCTCAATCCCTTTTTCTTTCCTTTTTTTAGTTTGTAACGGTCAATTCGATCTAACCATCGTCATGGATGCTTCAGTAAACACCGGCAAATCAGGTTTCGACAGTGTCAAGATCTTCGCCAAACAGCTGGTTGATGCTTTCGATGTCGAAGGAGCAGGAACAAGAGTGTCTGTCATCTCTTACAGCGACAAACCAAGGATCAACTTCGGTTTTGCCGATGTGAACAGGAAAGATGCAATAAAGAACGCCATTGATGGAGTTGTCTACCAAGGTGGAGGCATTTCTGCGACATCGGATGCTCTACAGTTAGCTGTCGACAAAGTTTATAAGATAGAGAACGGAATGCGAAGCAATTCGAATAAGGTACAGTAAGATTGTATGTCTGTAGATGTGGTTCTTTTTCCTGTATTCTGAGGTTCAAGGAATTACTGGCTTTTATGAAATTTTGGGGCTCAGTACTTTGAGATGCAAGATTTAAAACAAAAAATTACGATTTGTTATCAGTGCTTCATGAATTTTGAACGCGAGAATGTAGCCGAAGAAAAGAGGAAAGAAGAAACATATTTCTTCTATAATGTTTTCAGATTGTATAATCATGTTTGAGCCGCGTGGCATTGAGCTAGACGGGTTTACTTTGTCACAAACTTTGGGGTCAGGGTAGAATTGACATGAGATACTATTCTCCTGGGCCCGGTTGTACGAAGCCTGGATAGCGCTATCCAACGGATAAATCTTATCCAGTGGATAAATTTATTTSATAACAGCATCGACTTATCCATTGGATAAGGATTTATCCGCCGGATAGCGCTATCCAGACTTCGTACAACTGGGCCCTAGATTCGACTGTCACTTCGCTCTTCCACGCACGGGAAAACATTCCTTTATTTAAAACTACTGTTTTTGAATAACATTGGTTGTAATTTCATGGGAGAACCCCCCCCCCCCCCACCAAAAGAAAAAAACGCGAGTGTTTCATGTGTTCCCTCTCAATGAGGAGGTACCACGTTTTTGATAATTTCTTCGAGCTAAGGCTTCTCAGCGGTGACTCAAGACCATGAGTCAGTAAGTTTTGGTATTCTCTCCTCCCCATCTCTCCCAGTTACAGTCAAATCTCTATTAAGCGGTCACCCTTTATTAAGTGGTCACTTAATAATTTCCCGAAATTCGCTTTTCTTACTGTATTTACTGTAAACGTGACCTCTATTAAGCGGTCACCTGATGTTTCCCCAGGGGTGACCGCTTAATAGAGGTTCGACTTTATAATCAACATATAACTGACTTTTGTCAAACATGGAGAAAATGAGTAAGTAAATTGTACTTCAAACAAGTTAAAGATTCCTTTGCTTTATCCTATTGTAGTCACTAGTCATCATCGGACCAGGAAAGTTTGCCAACCCAGACCAAGCTGCCCGTATCGCTAACGAACTGAGACAAAACCTCGTAGACGTTTTTGTGATGCCAGTTGGTTACGACCCAGACGTTCCTTCCATGAAAAGAGTAGCTTCAAATCCTGTTGACAAGAATGTATTCATGACAACAACTCCCGAGGCTTTGAGGCCACATCTGAGGTCACTGACAAAAAGGATCTGCGACGGCGCTGAAAGACCCAAAGGTAAAATGTTGCAAAATGACACTAAAATGAAACTATAGAAGTTTCTCAGTAGAAACAAGGCAAACTTTGTCTTAGTTCCATCAAGGTTCCATCAAAGTTGGAAATGATTTTTTTCCATTATATTTTTTATTTTCTTTCTGATTAACTTTTTTCTGATTAACTTTTTTTGATTCATCTTTTAATTTTCTTCTGATTTTTTAATTGTTGCCATGGGGTGTCGTGTCACTGCTTGGAATAATCTGTTTGGGTGACTTTTTATATATGATTCGTCTTTTAATATGTGACAAGACTTGAATGTTGCATCTCACAGTGCTCTTATATTTAATAGAATTGATAAGAAAATAATAATGATGATTCATTTTAGTATGTGACAAGGCAATGGACATCGTTTACGGCATCCCAAATGCTGCATCACTTGGCCCTGACTTTGCCAACGTGAAGTACTTCTTCAAGAGCATGAGCAAACAATTATTTGTATCCAACCGCAACACCCACATCGGTATTATACCCTACAGCGACTCTGCTGCTCTGACTGTTGACCTGGACAGCGTATACAGCAGGGAAGGCATCATMAACGCTATTGACAAACTCAAGCCGTCTGGATCTCAGTTCAACGTTGCCAAAGCCATTCAAGTTGCTGCTGACAACGCCTTCACGATCTTTGGTGGCACACGTCCCACGGCTCCTAAAACTTTTGTTCTTTACATTCCTTCTTCACGACCTGAAGACGCTGCTGCCATCAAAGCTGCATCTGACAAACTCAAGAGTGTTGGAGTTCGATTGATGGTTGTAGGATCAGAGGAGAATGTTGATTTTTACCGGGGAGTGTCTTCCCAGCCTCCACAAAAACATTATCTGCATGGAAGTTACGATAAGAACGCTGCTGGTGTCTTTGATGCTGTTGATACCATCTGTAAAGGTTGGTCTATGACAAAAAATGGTATTTAAAACTTATATATTTACAACCACCACTCCCCATGCGGGGCTCTTCCGTGAGGTTCCCTCCACACGCACTACCACTACATTCTATATTTACAACATACAACACTCAACTCAGATGTTGCTTTTTACGGAGGGAAGAAACCAGAGATCCCGGTGAAAACCCTCGTGGCAAGGGAGAGAACAACACAACAAACAAACTCAACTCACATATGATTCAGTCTGAGCCAGGGTTCGAACCCGGACCACAGTGGTGAGAGGAGAGCGGTAAACCACTACGCCACCCATGCCACCCGTATTAGTGAATAATGTGACGCTAAAATGAGTCTAACCTTGAGTAAATGAGTCTGTAAGGATCAAGGAACAGTRGTATAATTGTATGATTTCGACAATACTTGAGCAAAACGAAGCTAACTGTATTGACTGTCTTCTTATTCACAGCTAGATATGGGACATGTCCTGTCGGAGCTCAAGTCAAGGTGGATCCAGGAGCGGAAGGTTGTCCATCTCAAGACGCTTGTAGTGCTGATGGAGACTGTAAAGATCCCAACCATCTTTGCTGCGAAGGATGTGCCAAGACCTGCGTTCCTGCCGTCAGAAGTGAGTTACATATATGGAGATTTTTTTTTTTTTTGTACAGCCGAGCCAAAGTCTGTAGAGTAGATTTAGTATTACCGTGAAAAGGCAAGGTGCACGTTACTTTTATTCTTGGATTGCATGTGACATCATAGCCGCCATTTTGGTTGACGTTGACAAAAGATTTGGTCTTGGTGTCTTTTACCATGTCAACCAACATAGCTGCCACGTCTTTTGTCTATTTATTCTAATTGGAAGAGATGCACGATACCAATAGTAAGGAATCGACGGGTTCAAGCCGCGTGCGCACGTGTTTTTGTGGACATCCACTGATGTCTCTACATCAGAATTCAAATGGCTGCCATGCCGAATAGGGTGTAATGATTAAAAGTCATATTATTCTCCGGTTGTTTGTAGATTGTTTCGTCACCATGGACGTTGCCATAGCAATGGATGTTACATCAGGAATCCCGGACGGTGACTTCGACAACCAAAAGAACATTGTTACTCGAATCATTAATTCCTTTGCTGGCTCAGAAAACAGCATTCACTTTGGTTTACTGAAGTACGCTTCAACAGCCCAAACTGTAGCTGACTTCAATAGAATTGTTCCATACAACCAGCTCACAAACACGGTCAAAAAAATGCAAAAGTCTAGCGAATCTGAACGAAGAATTGACATAGCACTTCAGACTATATCCCAAGGGATCTTCAGTCTTGAGGGCGGCATGCGACAGGGTCATCCTAGGAATGTCATTTTTATAACCTCAGGGTCAGCGTCAGCTAATTCGGAAGACTTAGGCAAGGCGGCCAAGGATCTTAGAGCCCTGGGAGTGAACATCATCGCAGTTGGATTGAAAAATGCTGATCCAGGCTTTTTGAAAATCCTCGCTACTGAAGAAAGATTTGTTTTCAAGGCGTCAACACCCGAGGAGGTTGAAGGATTGTGGAATAAAATACAAGCWCAACTTTGTGAGAGTGAGTTGACTTTTACTGGACGTTTTTCTTTTTAACTATGATTATGAGCGTTACCTGTAAGCTTTAGGCGCTGAAAGTATGTGCTATTCTTCAAATATTGCGTATTTACCTTGCGTGTTTTCGCTTCTAACAAAACTGCAACAGAAAAATTCAACCATTCACAATTCTGCATTGATACACTTTTATTTTCTCCAAATTCAATTAATTTTACCATTCAGGAAAAAACAACTCGTTTCTTTTGTTATTTGTCAAATTCTTTTTTCGTTTTTCTTTATCCCTCAGAAAAACCTGGTAAATGCAGACCAGTCGAACGAACATGTGGAGCACCAGGCTCCCCCGTTCCTCCTCAGTTCATTCCGTGTGGTGATTCAGCTGGTAAAGCAGGACGAAGTGCCAAAGAAAATGACTGGGATTGTCCTGGACAATCTCGCTGTTGTCTTGACCCAAGTGGATGCCACTCAGTCTGTCAGCCTGTTCCAAATGGTAAGTCCTTGCACCATCTCGACGTGGCAGCCATGACAAGAGGCACAATAGTAGTCTTTTTCCCCTGGGAAACTGAATTCTTTCTCATGTAAATCMGATTAGACTAGATTCGATTGTTCCTGCCTCCTGTTATGGCTGCCATCACGTGTTGGTGCAAAGCGGCTATTGGATAATTTTGGTAACAAACTCGCGCCTTTATGGAACGACCGCGTTTGTTGTTGTGTTTGATTCAAATATCTRGACCTCCTGGAAATTACCTATGTATGAAACCTTGTTTGTTCATGATGGTTGCACTAAACGATCGARTTTAACTGATCATCTCTATATGGACCATGGAATCTTCAGAAGATCTAGTCACTGTTTTACACTCCCTTTTATTGCCAGATGAGGTGTATAACAATTAAATAAATGGACGCCTTTTTGAAATTATTTTCCAGTGTGTTTTAATCGCGCCCACGATTTGTCAATTCTCATCGAAAACTCCGATGCAGCTGGCCCACATGGCTTCAACAAAGCCAAGGAGTTTGCCCAGTCTTTAGCTGATGCCTTCTACATCTCTCCTACAAACACTCATGTTGCTATAACAACCTATGGTCCTACAGCTGATGTTCATTACAGATTCAACTGGTTCCAGGTAGGCCGAACATGTAAAGTCATTTATTTAGTCATTTTCGTATTTACCTGTTTGGGAGGAAATATTATGCAGCAAATAACTTGACGAATGACTGCAATGTGTCATGAATTTCTATGTCAATCTTGATGTCAATCTTGAAGACAGATGGGCCTTCCAACCTTTCGAAATCATTGGATGGTCGAAATAGAACTAGAATACTCCAACCACTCAACCACTGGGTAGTAGATAGGTGGATAGATGATTACACTGGGTGTAAACTGGAAAATCATTGGCACCCTAATAAATTCATCATCATCATCATCACCAACACCATTACCATCACCATTATCACTATCATTATCACCATCATCACTATCAGCATCACAATCATCACCCCCATCACCACCATCACCATCATAATCATCAAAATCTATTTTAAATCTAACGGGACTAGTTTTCATTTCATTTGGTCTGTGAGTTTATTTGCTATGTTGTTCTATCCTATGCTACGAGGATTTTCTCCGGTTTCCTCCCTCCATAAAAATCAACATTTGAGTTGAGCGTTGTGTGCATAGAATATTAAAAGTAGYGGTAGTGCGAGTGAGTAAAAAGTGTCCCCAATACGCCTTTTCATAGTTTAAGAATCGATTCCACTGCGCATGCGATTTTATCCCGAATTTCTCACCTTCATTTGTCTAAACCTTCTTTTGTTCTTAATTAAACAAAAGAAGGTGAGAAATTCGGGATAAAATCGCATGCGCAGTGGAATCGATTCTTAAACTATGAAAAGGCTTATGAGTGCGAAAAGCACTAGAACGACTAGACATTTAAATAAAGATTATCTTATTTATGTCTCACAGGGCCCACAAAACAACAATGCAAATGTAAGGCAGTCAATAGGAAGAATCCAGTTCGTGGGAGGACAAACGGCTCCAGCAAGTAATGCTCTTCAGGCAGCACTAGACGACATCTTTACCGAGAGAAGTGGAGCAAGAGAAGGTGTCAACAAGGTAATATAGTCAGTTCATTTACTTGAAATGACTTTYACTAATCTTTTTGCCTATATACCCCTTGCATGTGACGACAAAGCAGCTCTATGTGGAGGACAAGACAAAAGAATACCAATCGCCTTGATTTTGCGCAGAATATTCAAAGTGTTTATATCGTTGAAGTTGTAAGCACTGATACTAACCCGCCTGTGTAAATGAGTCTGTAATCAAGGAACACATGGGTAATTTGGGATTCGAAACTGGTCTATTCACCTTTTGGAAACCTTCTCACCAAAGAAAAATATTCTTAAAGTCTATATACTAATTTTTGCGATTATTTTTATTTTTATTTTATTTTTTTCAAATTTCTTAGAATTTTAAAGAATTTTTCACTCGGGTCAACTAACGTTTGACGTTTGCAGTAAACGAGAATCTTAAACTCCCTACTCTAATAATAAAAAAATCTAGGCCACTTCTCGGTCTTTAAATATCTGATGACCCATCCCTCGTGTCCATACTTACGAGATATGATATTTTTCAGTCGCTTGTTCTGGTCGGATCAGGTCGGTTTGTTGATGCAGCAAGAGCAGTAGGAATATCAGCAGCACTCAAACAGAACCTCGTCGACGTTTTCTTCGTCCCTGTTGGTCCAAACCCAGATATCGCCAACATACGAAAGTTTGCTTCGCCAGTAGTGGAGAAAAACGTGTTCTTGTCTTCGTCGTACGATGCCTTAAGACCGCACGTTCGAGCCGTTACCAAGGCGATCTGTGATGGTGCAATTAAGATCCAAAGTATGTAATAAACTGTCCCCGCTCCACGAACACACGGAAATGCAATTTCTGTTAAGTGATCTGAGGGGAAAAAATTAGTCCATAAAAATGGAGAAAATTTGGAAAACTGATGTGTCAAGTTTCCTCTTTAGATTAAGTATTTCCAGACCACCAAATGAAAAAMACCTTGCCATAATAATTGAGTTTTATATTTTATTGCAATAATGGGCATGTTTTTAATTTTCCACTGGTCAATATTCGCAAGCTTCATGAGACATCAGTTTTGCATGACGTCATTTCTAAGTCACTATTTCAGATCAGCTGGTATCACGTATATCAGTTGTCGTCTTTCACCCCCACCCCATCCCCACACATAATATATTTTTCTCGTATTATTTATTGACAGAATGTAAACAGCCTATTGATGTATATTAATTGTCGTCTTTCACCCCACCCCCTCCCCCCTCCC